TACACTTAATACTTATTGCCCTAAATAGTAAAATTAAGAAATAATTTGATAATATTTTATTAATAGATTTTGATTTTTTTTTCCAAAACTCAAAAATCAATATCTTACAAAAAACAAGAAACACCTCCGTGAAAATTTTAGAATATTTTAAGAACATGCAGAGGTATTATGCAAAAAAAAAATTGAGCAAAAAAAATATTAGTTTTTGATGTATTAAATTTTGATAATTTTGAAATTTTTTGATTTTAAAATTTTTTTTTAATATATATAGTTTTGTAGCCCCAAGTATCCTCTTTAAAACGAGCTGAAGATGATTTTTGTAGCTATAATAGTTTTTGAGATATTAAAAAAATTAACTTGAAAAACTGGAAAAATAGTGAAATTTTGAATTTCGCATAACTTTTGCAAATATTGTTTTTCATTTTTTTGCTGTTGATGGAACTTCATTATAGGTTGAAAAAAAACTTTTGACCAAATTTCATCCAAATCGAAAGGGGTCGATTCCAACCATTGGTCGTTTTGACACGGAATTACCCATATGCTAATCTAGGCAAAAAGCAACCTATGTACCAAATTTTAAGCAACTCGGACGATAAATACGATTTTTGCGAATAGATCGGTCCTTGATCCACTTCCCGGAAAAAAGGATCATATATGCTAATCTAGGCAAAAAGCAACATACATACCAAATTTTAAGCAAATCGGACCATAAATAAGATTTTTTCGAATAGATCGGTCTCTGGTCCACTTCCCGGAAAAAAATGATCCTTTATCGTCGTTTAAGGTACAAAACCGCGTATCGTCATTTTGCAAAACCGCGTAGCTGACATTTGCTGCCAAAAATTGGATTTGCTCACGCAAGCTCTTGGCTCAATCCTTATCCATTCGTCCTGAAATATACTAGCCAGAAATGCCATTGCTTTATAAAAAAAATAAACATTTTGAAATATGAGTGTTTTTACTCTCTAGAAAATAATTTATGCAACCTCACATACGCGGTTTTGCATTATCTTGATACGCGGTTTTGTACTTTAAACGGCGATATGCTAATCTAGGCAAAAAGCTACCTACGTAAGAAATTTTAAGCAAATCGGACCATAATAAGATTTTTTTGAATAGATCGGTCCTTGGTCCACCTACCGGAAAAGTGATTTTTTTTTGGCCTATGACATGGTGGTTGCTGAAAGCTATTTATATACAAAATTTCATGAAAATCGGACCAGCCGATCGCGAAATAACTTATTACAGAAAAAAGGGAATCCTCTTTATATAATTAGTATAGATTAGTATAGATTTTCAAGCCATATTTTAAGAAAAAAACAAAATGAGGCATTTCCTGTCCCCGCGGCCCCCTCTGTGCACAACATCTACGAAACTGGATGCAAGTTGAAGAGAGTGAAGGTCTAGGTGACACGAATATACGTGCAGCATATTTTGCCGATATGGTCCATGGTCAAGAATGATAGAATACAAGATTGCGCCGATCAGAGAGGATTTTTGAGAATAACTTTTGTGTGACGTCACACTGGTGCAATTGCGAGAGAGAAATGCCAAAACGTGAGCAAGAATGGAAGAAGAAG